GAGAATGAGACCTGACCTAATTGATACTCCTTTCCAAGAGGTACTCACTAACAAAATTTAATAATTGAAGGTGTCAGGCTATGACCTGGAGACAGTATGGCTTGTACACATAGAACAAATTGAAATGTCTCAGCGTACATGTAGTTTGCCATTAAAAAGTAATTGTATTAATGTTGCTCTTAAAATAATCTCTGTCGAGTTATAAAATTTGATATGCGTAATGACGGACCATGCGCAAACTACATGTGAAATTTTAGAAATACCACTCCAGTACTTTCTGAGAAATAGTGCTAACAAACCTCAACTCTCAGAAATTCAAAATGGCCCTCTGACAGCCATCTTGGTTTTTCAATCAGTCCCAAAAATACGGGAATACTTACGCTCCAAGGAGCTGTGAGATACACACTTTGCATCAAGATCCTCACTGTTCAGAAATTTACTCAACCGCTTCATCGAGACATTGGCCTAGAATTATAAAATTCAATCACATGATCCACACAATGAAATTCATACTTGAATCTTAAACTTGGCTTTAATTTGTGTATCAAAATATCAAGTGTAATTTTTGACTATTTAACCTTGACAAGGTTGATTTCTTGTACAAAAACGTTTTCACTACAGCTGTAAAAGTGGACCAAAGATCACATACATGCAAGCATGCACAGATATTCCAAGCACAAAAATATGATAATCCGTTGACCTGGCGACCATATCAGGTAGTCCTTACCGTGACCACTTCTGTGATGACAGCCGGAGCAATGTTAACAGCAAACCTCAGTATGTTGAACAGGGAAATGGCTACGAACGCTGTCTGAGGGTCCAGAAAATGATTATCTGATGCAAAGATGAAGGTCGCAAAGGTTGCCAGGGACACCTGATTAAAGCAAGTCAAAATTGGATCAAATGCCACATAAATATTAATTCAGATTTAAATGAAATATTTACATTTTTAGGAGATTAGTCTAATTATACATGTTACTGGGGCCATCATTAGTGTGAATTCTTTAAAAGATGTTAGTGACCATTTATGATGGTATAGGTTGTTTATGTACATTGTATAAGGTTAAAATGCAGAAATATAACAGTTACCATTGACCCAATGTTTTTATTTTGCTAGGTAATGTCAATGAGGTATTGTCCTTGAAAACTTGAGTATGTGTGTTAATATTTGTAATGACATTAAGACTAGACACAATCTGAAAGATAATACTAGCTGGGTACAAAAGAATTTAGTTGTGCGAGTCCTATATATACAGATGAAGTTATTCAGTAGCTCAAAAACCACATGAAATGCTTACAAGGTAGGGAGCTATGTACCAGGAGAACATGAAACCACAGCCAAATATGCCAGCCTTCCAGATATATTTCAGCTCCAGTTTTCTCACAGCAGCAATCTTTTCCTTAAATGACATCTCCCAAGCATAGAGTTTGAGAATCTATAAAGTAAAAAAA